CGGCCTGTCTCCAGACTCCCATTTGTCGCTAAACTACTGGAAAAAATAGTGGAGTCCCAGCTGAAATGCTTTCTAGAGGATAATGCCATCTTAGAGCTATTCCAGTCTGGCTTTAAACCTCTCCACAGCACTGAAACTGCTCTACTCAAGGTTTTTAACGACATTCTCCTATTCACAGACGCTGGTGATTCTGTGCTCCTTCTCTTACAGGACCTCACATCTGCCTTTGATACAATCGACCACGAGATCCTCATTGTGAGGTTAGAGCAGTGGGTGGGCATCACTGGGTCAGCCCTCGAATGGTTTAGATCTTACCTCGCTGACAGGTCCTTTTGTGTCTCCATCAAAGATTTTAGTTCAGCCTCGGCAGCGCTTAAATGGGGGGTACCGCAAGGGTCCATCCTTGGTCCTCTTTTATTTTCTTTATACCTGCTGCCACTAGGTGCTATTTTCAGGAAACATAACATACCTTTTCATTTCTACGCCGACGACTGCCAAATCTACTTCCCCCTCAGACTCAACGGTACTCGCTCTATTCAACCGTTACTGGACTGCCTGGCTGACATCAGAGATTGGATGGCTTTAAATTTCTTGAGTTTCAACGAGAAGAAATCTGAAGTTATGCTGTTTCCTCCCAATGACACAATCACCAACCACTGCATCGACCTATCCGTTCTGTCAACGTTAGTGAAACTAATAGTCACTAATCTAGGAGTGATACTTGACCCTTCTCTGAAACTCAACAATCATGTAAATATGATTGTTAAATCCTGCTTTTTCCAGCTGAGGCGACTGTCTAAGCTGAAGCCCTTATTGTCCAAAAATAACCTGGAGACAGTAATTCATGCATTCATTACATCCAGGCTCAACTATTGCAACTCACTCCTTTTTGGTATCAGTCAGACCTCCATAGCTAGACTCCAACTGGTCCAAAATGCAGCAGCCCAGTTTTTGACCAGCACAAGCAAAAGAGAGCACATTACTCCTGTTTTGGCCTCCCTACACTGGCTTCCGGTTCACCTTCAAATCAAATTCAAAATACTCTTGTATGTCTATAAATCACTAAACAGCTCTGCCCCCTCCTATCTTACTGATCTGCTCCAGCCGTATGTCCCATGTAGTATGACATAGTTGGACATATTCATACATTTTTCACGAGTTCC